CCACACCCTGGTCTCACACATTGTCAGGAGAAATCCACTTTCCCTGAAGTTTTTAAGCTGCTGGACACTGCCTTTATTTTCTCTTCACATAAGCAGGTGGCTATTTCCAAGGGTGTTATATAAAAGTATTCGATATATTGTTATATAAAAATATTCAATAAAAGTGTCCCCAAGCCATGTGCCTGTGATGTGTCCTTGCTGTTTGATGGCAGAGCTGGAGCAGAGCCTGGGCAGCAAAGGGAAAGGGAGCTGAGCCCGTGGCCTTTCCCAGCACCAATATCCACACACAGCATTTCACATTCTGCTTTGTATAAATTTAACATATGTAACAGGAATGTATTTGCTTTCTATTCTAGGAAAGGGTTATTTTATAATTCTACTACCAAAAAAGAGGAACAAAATTTGGTAGTTTAAAACTTCAAGACAAAGATTTTCAGGAAACTCGCCTCCAGTTCTGTTCCCTATTCCATTACCATCATAAATCTCACTCATTTGAAACAGAGAACCAACACAGCTTAAAATAAAATAAATTAAAAAGCGACAGCAGGTCTGGGTTGTTCTCTCACTCATCTTTGTTAGCTTTTGTTACCTCTCAGATTAGTAACTAATTATTGAAATATCAACTTTGTTCAGTTGAGCAATAGAGAAAGGGAAACAACGGTCCGTGGGCCTTAGCAATTTGGCAATGGAAAGCAGAAGTGTGCAATCACTACAGATGGGGAATGAGAACAAAAAAAGCAACACAGCAGATTAAGAAATGGTATTATTGCACAAAATTAGAAACTTTTTTTGAGGGGGAGCCTTGATCCCTAAATAGCAAACCAGAGCCCAGGAAAGCAAAGCCTCTGTGTCCCAACACAGGAGTGAGAGCAGGAAAACACTGCCTGCAGCAGCATGGGGAGAAAGGGAGGAAAGGTAAAAATGTCATGGCATGACAGATTGGTTTGGGCTGGAAGGGATCTCCAAAATCATCCAGTGCCAGCCCCTGCCATGGGCAGGGACATCTCCCATAGCCCCATCCAGCCTGGCCTTGGACACCTCCAGGGATGGAGCAGCCACAGCTTCTCTGGGCACCCTGTATCAGGGTTGTACCATCCTCACAGCCAGGAATTCCTTCCCAATATCCCATCTGGCACGGGAAGCCATTCCCCCTTGTCCTTGTCCCTCTCCAGCTCTCCTGGAGTCCCTTCAGGCACTGGAAGGGGCTCTGAGCTCTCTCCAGAGCCCCCCACCTCTCCCAGCCTGGCTCCCTAACAGAGCTGATATTCCCAGAGAGTTCCACAGAGCCCACATTTCAGCTGTACCCAACCAGAGCTGCATTTAGGAAAGATGCTGCTCCCACTTAGCCTCGAGGAGGAGCAGCAGTGCTGGGACACACAAAGCCCCTGGGAGTCTTAGCTCATCTTCTGGGGCTGGTTTTAGTCCCAGCTCCTCAGGGTCCTGCAGTTTCCCCTCTCCAGGGGAAGCTCCTCAGCTCCTGGCTCACCTTTCTATCGGAAACACCACCAAATAAAGCCCCAGGAAAAGCAGTGAGATGCCACATTGTCCCCAAGGCACTGCAGTTTAAAAGGCTGTAAAAATAGCAACAAATTTTCTCCTCCAAAGAGAGCCCCAAAGGAGCACCCGAGGAAAACAAAGCCTTGATGGACATAGACCACACAGGATTCCCAAGAGATTTTGTACAACTTTCAATAATTCAGCTTCATGCACAAATCTTCCCCAGTGCACCAAATATTCCTTCAGATTTTTTGCCTTCCCAAGAGCACAGCCCATAAGAGAATGAGAATATCCACAATCCCTACATGGAGCAGCATAGAAAAGGGAAAGTCTTCAACCCCCTGGGATTCACAGCTCCATACTAAACCTTTTTATTTCCCCCCAGGATGGTGGATGTGGGAGTGGAAGGTTCATTAGCACCTCAACACTCATTTACCAAATGACCACTGACCCTCACAAGTGATTTATATCCCCAGCAGATTTATGGGATTATCACAAATAAATTAACTCAAAGGAAAAGCAGGCAAGGATTAAGTGGTGAGGATATTCTGGTAAAGAAAATGAGGTTAATTATAAACAAATACCTGAATTTTTGAAATCTATGTGTAAAACAGGAACAAAACAGAGAAAAAAATCAGTTTTGCCAGGCAAAAGCAAGAGAGACCAAGAAAGAACACTCTGCTACAAAGCAGATTTCAGCCCATTAAATATTTTACATTCTGGGGGGAAAATAAGCCACTCAGATTTAGTTTAATTTGTTTAACAAGCAAATGGCTTTTTTCCTGATTAAAAGAGAGATGAATGAAAAATACAGGTATTTAGTATTTGAGATTTTTCTGATTGTCAGTCAGAATTTTTAATTCCAAAGAGAAGGGTTTAGCCTTCCAGGCTTTAAGTCCTGCTCGATTTTAGCTAGAATAGAACATTAATTGATGGAAGTTGTTGTTCTGCACACCTGGGCATCCTTTTTATGGGAAATAATCCTCCCTCCAGAGAAAGATGTACTTTGAGATTTCATTGCAAAATGGTTGTAAAGCTCTGGAAATCCTTACCTGGAAGGTACTAAAGGAAACCACCACTAGATATCACCATATGACTATTTAATAAATCTCAGAAAAATTGTTAATGTGTAAAAATCCTAATTATCCTCCAGGCAGATGAAGTCACCTTCTAGAGGGGCTTAATTCCCACAACTGGGGCAGGCTGGGGAACATCCTGACTACAGGATTAATTGGGGAAATTTAACCAAATATTCCAACTTCCTACAGGGTCTGGGTCCCAGGACCTGGTGAATATTCCTCTGTGGGAACACAGAATGAGAGCTGGATATGAAGGTAAAAATTCCCTGCCAGTATTTCTCCTCCAACACCAGATTTTCTGGCATGTGGATAAAAATCAACTCCAGGCAGAATGTGGCCATGGATGTCTGCCTTGTAAAATATGGCACTGCTTTCCTTTGTAATGAAATCCAGCTGCTGCCCTTCAGCAGGCTGGAAAAGCACCTTTCCAGGGATTTTCCCCGTGGAATTTGAGTTCACTGAGGCATTTTTCCTCCTAGAGAAAACGGGCACAGCTCCAGTGCAGCTGATGGAGTTTTACTCAAACTTGTAATGGGATTTAGCATCTTCCAAATAGAAATAAATCCAAAGCAGGTCATGAATTGCAACATGTCAATTAAAGTAAAATTGAATTAAAATAGTATTAAGTTAGTAATAACTGTATTTGTCTCCTCTTTTTAGAAATTAACAGATTTTGCCCCTAAAATGTATTCTGGAACAACATAGTTCTTCCTACAGAGAGAAATTAATTTTGAGAAGTTACTTAGATTGTGGATTAAACCAGTTCAACAAATGCTGGGGGAAAACACATGGACAATATTTTTCCATGGGCAAAACTACATACAATCAATAACAAAATAAAACGTGCTTTACATTAACAACGTGCATTTACCTGCACCTCCATTTGTGCTGTTAAAACACACATCATTGGGGTGTCTAAATTATCCATTTTCCTCAAAACACTGCTGTTATGTGGTTTTATTTTAATTCCAGCGAAAATTGTCTACATATTTAATACAATTAATTTAAAAACGAGCTCTGAAACAAGTCCTGAGAAGGGATGGGATGAACACAGCTCCCTCAGGTTTTGCTGAACTCTCATTATTTCTGTGTTTTCTCCTCTGGCACTCCATTTCTGCCCTGGGGATGGAGCAGATCCAGCAGGGATTGTCCCATTGCTGATCCATTCATTTGATCCCTGGGGCTGGGGCTGAGGTGAGCAGCAGAGCAGGGAGGGGCTCCTCCAACGCATTCCTCACACAAAACCCGCAGAGTCTGGAGCTCAGGTTTAACCTCCGACTTCCTCATTTCCTGAGGAAGAACCTCGTACAATTAACTTCTTTCCAGACTTTGGCTTGGGCTATAAATAGATCCCAGAGGGAAGCAAGGGCTGGGGCAGGGCAGCACAAATGGCACAGAGCCCTTCTTGCAATGGATAATTACAAAAACCCTTTGGCTACTGCTGCCCTCTGGAATATTCCCCCTCTCACCCTCGGTTAAATTGTTCTCTGCACCTCCACCAAGGAAATCTGGAGAGCTCTGCCCACCCTGGGCTCCTCCGGAATTTAATGAAGTCATTTGGCCTCTTCCAAGGGACTCCTGGCTTGATTTTGAATGCTGAGAAGGAGATTAATGGGATACACATGGAATTAGGGCAATGCATAGGGTAGCAAATCATCCTTTTCCTCTCGTGCTCCTAGAAAGCAAGGATGAGATTCAGTATTGTTTATATTCCTTGCACCAAGGTCAGTGGGAATTTTGGATCAGGCAATGACCAGTTAGGTCTTGGATGTGTATGAGTCTGATTCTATTAATTTATTTCCTTTTTAGGAATTATCTTTCCTTGTCATTTTAATCAGGAAAAAAAAAGTCCTTACATTGCCCACTCAGATCACTTTTCTCTCAGGAGCAGCTTTTTTCTCAATCTTGCTGATGTTTTCTTTGAGTTTACAGATGATTTTAAGAAATGTCCAAGAAATAAAGATTCAAACAAACAAACAAACAAACAAAAAACCAACCATAAGCAAAAATACCCAACAAAAAACTATATTAGAAAAAAACTTCTGCAGAGCAGGAAACAGTCCAATTCATCTATCATTTTACAGTGGTAACATAATGAATAATTTCCAGCTGAAATATTTGCTGAGAAGCAAGAGCAAGGAGAGAAAATGTGTTTGAGAGCTAAACAACAGTATTTCCATACAAAAATCTACATTTCAATTTCCCAATGACAATGCAGGAATCTTGCATTATTTTTTCAGGAATGCTGCAGTCACCTTTGCTTGCTGACTCTGCAGATTATTGATGCTTTTATGTGTGGATGTGGCACTTGAGGACATGACTTAGTGATGCTGGGTTGGTGGTTGGACTTGATGATCTTAGTGGTCATTTCCAACTTTAACAGTTCTATGATTATATATTATAAAAACATGATTAACCAGTATTTTGAAGAGAAATTAATTTCAAATTCTCCATTAGAAAACAGTGACCTTTACTTCCCCTGCTACCAAAGGGGTTTTAAGACTTAAAATATTAACTAGAACAAGTGTAGTGTGCAAACGTTTCCATTTCCCAACCTAATCCTTAGAGTGAAACATTGGTACCCCAATCCCAACCCTCTCCCGAGCTGAGCAGCTCGGTCAGGATGTGAATCCTGTCCTGCAGCTCCATTTTGCACTCCCTTTGTTGGAGATTTGGAGGTTTGGGGTGCTGAACTCCGAGCTGTGCCTGTTGGGAGTGTGGCGGGAGCTGAACAAAGCCAACGAGTGCAAGAGGGCTCCTCTGGCTTTGGAGGTTTCTATGTTCTGCTCCTGGGAGATCTGAACACTGATCTGGTCCACGCTGTTCCTTATCCAGCTGCAGCTGAGGAGGTTTGTTATGGAGCCACACCTGGCCAGGCTTTCTTCAAAAAACTGTTTGTAGAGCTCTGCCACTTTGGCTTCCATGTATTTGTTGAGCGCGGAGTTGGAGAGGGGCTCCTCACTGAGCACGAGGCTCCTTTCTCCAGCTTCATCTCCAGGCAGGGACATCCCACTGGGCTTTTCAGGATGCTCACACAGAGGGGACTGCCCCAGGGGAATGTCTATGGAGAGCAGGACGGGGCCATCAGGGAGGTCATCACACACATGGTCCAGGACACAGCCCGAGTCACACGTGTGGCCCCCCACGCGGTCCCCCCCGATCTGCAGGTCAGGATAGTTCTGGTAAATGCTGTTGCACGGCCAGGATCTGTACAAATCCACCTGGTCTAGGCTTCCTCCTCTCCTGGGGATATGTAAAGCTGGGGATGCAGTTCCTTTAACCAGCATTTCCTCATCTTCTGCAGGTTCCTTTTCTATGGATCCCCACCGGGGGCTGCTCCCGGCTTCCACTTTGCTGCTTCTGGCAGAGAGCTCCTCCCGCTTCTCACATCCATCAGCAAAGCCTTTAATTTTTGGGAAGTCTACAAGTTTCTGTCTCCAGATTCCCTCTTTAGCCTTTTGGGATGCAGGAGATTTGCGAGGCTTATCTTGATGATAGCTTTCTTTATAGATGAACCTCGTTAGGATTCCTTCTGCCAGCATGGTGACAAGTGTGAGCAACAGGGATCACCAGAGTTCCATGGGGCCCTGGGACAGAAAGAAAGGCATAATATAACAACAACTATTATAGATTAATTTTATTATTATTATTATTGGTGGTGTTATTACTAATGAACAGTGCACTTCTCACAGACAGTGATTCTCCTTTCTCGCTCAAGCATTTATTTTTAGCAAACATTAAATTGCATGCTTTTCCTCTTTACCCTGTCCACAAAAATCATTCTGAAGATACAGGAAGGGCTTTAATGAGCTGCTTCATCTGAAACATCCCTTCTGCTCCCAGGTCTCTCCTGCATCGTGGCTATTTAAGACAGATTGTACTTTATAAGCTGTAAAAATCAGCAGAATCATTTTACTTGTCTGTATCAATACCATCACTAATTAATCAATGTTTTCCATTGCAAGACAACCATATCCAAAAGCCAAAGAGGTGATATAGAAAGGAAATAAAGACTATATTCATTTTTAGAGGTATTTCTGACTTGAGCACTCCTGTGAGGTACCAAGGAACTTCAAAAGAAACCAAGAGTTCTGCAAATGTAATAAAACTGTATTCAAAATGCAGATTAAATGTGTTTAGAGTCTCTCTTAATGATGAACTTAAAAGATATAGTTAATTTGCCTTTCCCAATAGTGAAGAGGTGTCTCAAAATAATTTATTACACATAATGATTCCTTATCATCCCTTTCCAATTTACCTACTGTTAAAATCAATGGGAATCTTCACATTAAGAGTCTGACCTGAACCATTGCTCTTAGAGAGAAATGGGAAACATAAACATAAGAAAATAATTCAGTTTGTCAAACATCCTTTAAATCTCTGCATAATTGAAGTATCTGCACACCCAAAGTGTGTTTGTGGCTCAATATTTTTCACCATGCCCCTGCATGCTGGTATATTTGAAACTCCCTACACTGGGTCACTTTTCAATCCAAGAGCTCCTTCCAGGAGATATTCTAAGACTTCAGTCATTTGAGAGATGGAAATTTTCACCTTTCCCCCAGAATTTACACATTACCACAGCACAACTGTTTGGTTGGTTTTTTTGGGGTTTTTTGTGGGGTTCTTTATTTTTGTGGCACAGTTCCCTCTCTGAAGCTGAAAGGAACACTGGAATTTTGAGACCAAAGCAGGCAAGAAAAGCAGCAGACCTGGTTATCTACAGTCATTTACATATGCAAAAAGCAGGGCAACACTTTCTTAAGCACTTAAGGGACTTGATAAACCAATTTCCAAAGAAAGAAGAATTGGCAGTCTAAATCTTGCTAAAGGTCCATGGAATTTGGAATGCTCTGTGCCTTGTAGGACATGGGTAACCAGGTCCTTACCCCGGGCTGTAGGACCTCAGGGTACCCAGCTCCTTACCTGCTAATAAGTTTTGGTTTATGGCTTTGAAAGGGCTCATGAAGAGCTAAAATATGGTAATCTTGGAAAAACTGGTCTCCTCCAAATAAAGTAACTGGTTTCTGTGCTCAGGAACAAAGCATAAGGAAAAAGAAAAAGGCACAAAAAACCCAACTTACCAAGCCCAGCCAGATCCAAGGCAGATTTCCCTGAGCTCGGAGCTCTCCTGCTACAGCTGCAGGGAGGGGGCAGATGGTTCCACACCCTTTACACCCTTTCCTCACCGCTGCCTGTGCAGAAAAAGCCTGACGCACTCATGATGCAATTCCCCCGAGTTTTAACTCATAAAACAGAAGTGATCCCGCTGGGAGAGGGCACGCTTTTTGAACACAAAGAGAGGGCTACGTCTAAAAGAGGATGTTTGAAAATGAATTGAGATGTTTCTGACCACAGTGTGATGCCGAGGAGCTGCTGACAGCCAGAACAGGGTACGGCAAGGAGCGCAGGGTCAGGGCTGTGCTGGGCAGAGAGAAATCGGAACCGAATTCCACCAACACTTCCACTGGTGGAGCTCGGTGCTGCTCAGCTGACCTGTGGGGTTACAGCACTTCCCCTTTGGAAACACGCAGCTAAATTTAGAGTCTTGTGATGTGCCACTGATGGGAAAGAAGTTGGCAACTTCCTTTCACCCGGATTTTGATGAAATACCCTGTCTCTGTGACATGCAAACAGGACAGTATGCCAATCTGAAAGCAGCAGCAGCAAATGGACAGCTCTGCACAATTGTGTTGCTCATTGACCAAATCTGCTCTTCAGGGGATCAAAAATTACCTGTGGCACGTCCCAGGTGCCCCCATGGTGGTTTTTGGTGTCCTCTTCAAGCTGAAGCCGAGCCCATGCACGGAGCCACCCCTCCCCTCAGCACAGGAGCCAGCCCACAGATAGTCTCAAGAGTTTCCTGTTGATGCCTGTTCTAAATTTCCTTTTTCTCAGAAGATAAAAACCCCCAATGAAGCAGAAGCTGAGCCTCATCTAAGTACAAGACAAAAGATTCCAAAAAGACACTGTTTAATGACAGGAGCAAGAGAAATTATCATCCAGTGCCATGGGCAGGGACAGCTTCCACTTCCCAAGTTGTTCCAAGCCTCAATGTCCAACCTGGCCTGGGACACTTCCAGGGATCCAGGGGCAGCCACAGTTTCCCTGGGCATCCTGTGCCAGGGCCTGCCCATCCTCACAGGGAAGAATTTCTTCCTAATATCCCATCTAACCCTGCCCCCTGTCAGTGGGAAATGATGTTGTGCCTTAAAAATTAGGTTTGGAGTAATTCTGGCCATATAGGTTCAATGAAGTCTGTAAAATTACCTCTCTTCCCTCTCTTCCTCCTGCATTTCATGAAAAACTTCAGTTTTTATGGAGGCAAAATGAAAGCTATTTTTATTCCCACCAAATTCATATAGAACTAATTTAATATTTAAAAGCTGTTCAAAATTACCTGATTTTTAATCACCTTATATGAGCAATTTCTGCACAGAAAGTGTGTCTGGAACTCCAGCAGAGTCACTGCCCACAGTCTTGGTGGGCAGGAACCAGGACAGATCAAATTCAGAGCAGTTTTAAACCTCACCAAGCTCGCAATTAGTGCCAGCTGCAGCTGGGATTTTTGTGCAGCTGTTTCAACAAAACACAAAAGTAACAGAGAGAGAGAGAGGAAGAAATCAAGTCAGGTAATTTGTGTGGAGCGATTAAAAGCAAATCAACTTCCATTTCAAATCCAGCAACCTGATCTATGGAAGGTGTGTCTGCCCATGGCGGGGGTGGGATGAGATGAGCTTTAATATCCCTTCCAACCCAAACCAGCCTGGGATTCAGGTCTTAAATTCACCAATATCCAAGGAAATCAATGTATTCTCTCAATGAGATCTCACCGAAAAGGAATTGCCTTTTATTTACAAAAATAAAATCAGAATGAGATGGAACCACAGCACAGACTGCAGTTAGGAGAAACAGCAAAGCAAGGATGTCAGAATATAGAACTGATATTTTGAAAAAAGAGGCAAAATTACTCATATAGTATCATTCATATACGGAGAAAACAGATACTGCCACACTGAATGATAGTATATGAACTATGGCTGCATGTAAAGTCCTTTCAGCACAGGCTGCGTACTTTGCACGCACATAAACATGAAATAGATAAAAATTGGTTTGAAAGGTTTTATGTTGGACGCTTTTTCGTAAGCACAGCTGTTGCGGGAGCTTTGTTTTCCATTCCAAAGGGAATTTCACCAGAACACCGCTCCGCTTTCACAGGAACGCCTCACGCACAGCCCCACCACACGCTCAGCCGTGGTTTAAGTAGCGGAGGGGCGGGTTTTAGAGATGATTGACAGCTGTATTACCCAATAAAAAGGCAGAACGGGCCCGCCTCGGCCGCTGAGTGGTCGCTGGTTGCCGCAGCAACGGCGCGTGGCGGCGGAGCTGCAGGGCCCGGCGCCATTGCGGCCCCTCACAGCGGGGCGGGCGGGACTCGGGCACTTCTGGTTATAAAATGTGTGTGTGAGCCTCTTCTCCCCGTGTAAACACAAAATAACCTGCTCTGCGTGCTGAGAAAGGATTCAGCAAAGAACTGAGGCCACATGAGAATTACAGTGCTGCTGACATTGGATTAATGATGTGCTGGTTTCCTTCTGTTAAGGATTTTGAAATACTGAGCAAATTAAAATGAAGAAACGGCAAAGTTCCTGATGTTATCTTCAATAAACCAACCTGTGAGAGAAGGAATTACTATCAGGAATTGTAGTATATAAGAATTACACATTGCTACATTGTGTATGTGTATCAACATTTAAAAATATATATATGCAGTAATATGCGTAATTGTATATACATTTAATATACATTAATTACTATATATGAATGTTACAAGATATACAGGGCCAAGTCTGATTCTTCATAAATACAACACATATTTTTTTGTACTAAATATATGTATTTTTCATTAAATATATGTATTTTGCATACTCAGTACTCACTGCTGTGCTTACCTGTAGTAATCCAGCAATTTCTACTTTGTCACCTCAAGTTTTGAAATCCTTTTGCATTTCCGCAAGTTTACCAATACAGTCCGAAATTTTTAATAACATCAAAACTGTCACAATGAACCTTTCAATCTAAAACACTCTACCAAGATCACAAAATATGGATAAATCCCAGAATATTTCTGCAGGAAATTCAGTAAAAGATTTAGGAATGATTTATTTGTGCTGTGGGATTAGGATCTGAGCAATCTGGTGCAGGGAAAGTTGTCACACATTGCACGCACGTGTGTAGCTTGGTTTATAAAGATTTTGGGAAACTATTTTCATTGAGCTTTACATTAATGAGTAACAACTGGGTTTTTAAGACTTTTAAATTAAAAAAAACAAGGAAAGGAGTGATTTTTCTGAGTTGCACAAGCAGAGAATGTCATTTCTGTAACTCTACAGGTGGTGCAGAACCTCAGCACGTGAAGCAGGAAGGAGGTACCTGCTGATCTACCTGGCAAACAGGGAAGGTGTAAGTGAAATTTTAGTTTAAAATTTATCCTGCACTGCCCTGTGGCAACACAAATAGAAAACAGCACAGCTCCCTGCTGTGAGCAGCATAAAGCTAATTAATTACAGTTTGTAAATGAGCAGGGGAGCGCTGGGTCAGCTCTGAGTGTGAGGAGGAGCTGCTGTGTCCCAGCCACTTCCGACCTGTCCCTGCCCTGGGGAATGAGTGGGAAAGCAGGATGATGAGGGAAATAACCCAAACCTTGACACACTATTTTGGGTAGGTGTACCCTAAATTAAATCACATTTAGTAATTAAATCCCATTAGCTGCAACAGGTGAGAGATCCAACCCAGCAGACTTCACCTGAAGCAACAGATCCCTGATGTTCACCTTGTATAAATCCTGAACTTTTACAAAGCAGTATTTTCATCTGAGACTTTCACTTCTTTTCAACTTCAAACTGTGAATAAAACATGCCAACAAGTCATGGAGTGAGAAGGTGTTCTAAAACAACTTTATTGGAATGATACAGGAATGGTTAACATACAGGTTAAATCCTCAATGCCTGCTTTCTACATAGGAAAAAAAAAAAGAAAGAAAAGAACAAATTCAGTTCTTGCACCCATGGAAACAGAAAACCAGCACAGAGGTAACAGATTCCTGGCACTCCTAAAGTCATGCAAGAGATCTGCATCAAAAAACTCAAGTTTTACACGCACAACAAAGAGATTTTCGGTATTTTCAGTTTGTGTCGGTGCCTTGTTCCCCGGACAAAGGAATAATTCAGCCTGGCTCACCAGAGCTGCCTTAGGAATGCTGATACAGTTTGAATGCTCCCATATGGCAAGGGGGGGACAGACGAGGGCAGTGACTTTGCTTTCTTAAACTTGGCAATTTTCTTGACCGTTGAGACAGGGATTGACCTCGTTTCAGAATGTTTTGGGTCACTGAACTGACAGAATTTGGCAGCAACTTTTAATTATAGCTTCTCCAAAATAATGGCTGTAATTCACCAAACTTGCACAGGAAGCACAGCGAACTGGTGTGGGTACAGAGACTTATGTGTCAAATCCCACTTTCCTCACCACACTTCACTTAGTATTCCACAGTTCCCAAAAACTTGAGCAGGAATTTAGACACAGAGAAAGATTCGGCCAATATTAAGAAATAAAAACCACCTCACTCAGAAAGATGAAATCATAGTGAACAACAAAAATATGATGCTGGATTTCAAACATAACCAAACTTCCATCCCCAAAAGGTCTTAAATTTCACAGAATTGCAGTAATTCCTGATAAAAGCTTTTAATAAAAAAGCACAGTCGTGTGTGTGTCAATCTTTAAGGTAAGGCAGCATCCATCCATCCATCTCTCTGCCTCGTGATGCTTTTGTAAGCACAAGCTTCCAACTGCTTCCCAGGCTCCCAAAATGGTAAATCAGGAACTAAAATATGGCCAGGAATTACAGGCTCCTTCATAAGCACTGGGAGAACACACAGGTTAATATTGCACGTGGTAAATTCACCTGCACGAGACACAGAGAGATTTGCAATTCCTGTAATAGATTTATGATATGGCAATAAGAATGGAAGTGAAGTTTTTAAACCTTAAAAAAAAAAACAAACTCTTGCTTAATTACAATAACTTTTGCTATTCAAACATTTATTTTTCATTTGAAAAAATACTATATGAACCTAATGGCTACTTGAACATGCAGTGAGATGTTTAATGCTCTAAGCAGTGTGAACTGGTATTTTTGTAGAGAAATACATTAAAGGCTTTCACCCT